TACAGGACCACAACGACCACCATCACCATTGTCTTCATTTATTACAAGAACTCAGCAATTTATTAATATATCTAGTCATGTTGTAGATCTATACGTTGTTATTGTTATGGTTAGCCTTGATTTTGATGGTGCCAAATTGTTACCAGTCTCTCTCTCTCCACCTCATCTCTCTCTTCTCTCCCCCGCTTTCCATACCATCTCTCCTTTCCTCCCCCCTTACTTTTCTTTCCTCACCCCAACCRGTCGAGGCAGATGACCGCCCACATTGAGCCTGGTTCTGCCAGAGGTTTCTCCCTGTTAATGAGGGAGTTTTTCCTCTCCACAGTCGCCTGTGCTTGCTCATTGTGGGAACTGTTGGGTTTCTCTATGTTAATATTGTTTTAAGGTCTTGACCTTTAAATGTAAAGTGCCTAGAGATAATGTAAATTATGAACTGGCGCTATAATTAAAATTGAATTGAATTGAATATTGTTGTCTAAAGGTGATTGTGGCAATTGATGATGCCACCATCTCTGGCTGTGTGTCTACCACACACTAGCCTTTAAAGCTCAACTTGTCTCTTTCCATGTGTGTTCATGTCTCTCCTGAGTGACTCTCCCTCTGGCAGCTCCGCTGCAGCCTTTTATACCACAGGATCATTTAGCTGATTAGTCCTCTGGTACAGGTGGAGGTTCTCTCCGAGCCACCTCCATGCCCATGTGATATATGCTTGGACAGTCATTTTACATTAACTTGAGATGTTCAGCGAGACCTTCCATATATCACCACATTTCAGACACACAGGTGCTTTGTGAAAATGGCAAATCTGTGACTGACAACATCTGGCCCACAGAGTGGAATGTAAATAAAAATCTGCCATTAACATGATCACCAGAATTAAACTGGAATACTGACTAATCTAATTTCTCTGTGTCACTTTGAAATGATTCCGAACTGTGCTACAGGTGCTAGCACTAATGGGTTTTAGCCTCCTTGCTCGAAGTTGTGAGTGGAGTGCAGAACTGAGCTCTTCCAGACGATGCAGGTTATTTTTTTTTATACATTGCATGCTGGAAATTTCATTGGTCTGTTAAGCAAGCAACATATCTTCAGACCCAATTTAAAACATTTTCAAAATTAAAGCTCTCCAATTTGGCTCATTGCAACAACTAAACAAACGTTATGCCTTAACTTTGTAGATACATGGGAGCAAGTGATTCTAGGGCTACGATAGGTTGCTGACATTATGATTTGGAGACATTGGAGACTTATTTAACATACCTTCAAAATCATGTTCCATGAGTTTAGTTATTAGTTGTATTCATATCTATGTTGATTGCTGCTCCTGTTGTCTCTGCTGCTTCCCATGTCACTACTGTGCAGACATCCACATTAAAATCCACATTGATGACCCAAGCAATGATTTTGCAATTATATTCTTAAACATCACAGAGTCTTTTAATCTAGTCCAACATGTGAGTCATCCAACTCATAACCGTGGCCACACATTAGATCTAGTCTTTACCCTCGGTCTAAGCATCAATTCCTTGACCTTAGAGGACGTATTTGTCTCAGACCATCTCTGTGTTAAGTTTGACTCCCTGTTCAATGTTGCCCAAAAACCCATCAAACCCACTAAAAGCTCATGCATCTTAAATTAACATAGTGCCTGAAAATTCTCATCTCACTTTTCAACTGGTCTTCTTGACCAGAATCTTTACGAGTCAACCGATCCCAATATTCTACTTAATTGCTTCAATAATACCTGTGAAGTAACACTAGATACTATAGAACACTATCCCATTCTACTTAGCAACTTTCACCAAGTTTCACTTCCTGATTTAATCAATACCGTGTTGCACATGCGCTCATCTTCAAGCCCTCTCGACATCATACCCACATCACTCCTAAAAGAAGTAATCAATACTAATCAATACAAAACAATTGCTCCCTTTCTTCTGGCCAAGTCCCAGACTACTTCAAGAAAGCCACCATTCAGCCTTTATTGAAAAAGTCAAATCTTGACCATGCACTCCCACAAAATTACAGGCCCATTTCAAAAACTCCTTTTATATCTAAAATCCTCGAAAAGGTGGTTCTGACCCAATGCTAGATATGTGTGAGAATAACATTTTTGACCTATTCCAGTCAGGATTTCGCAAACGACACAGTACAGAAACCGTTCTGGTCAAAATCACCAACGACTTATTTATGTCTGCCAATGCTGGTGAATGCGGCGTATTACTGCTCCTCGACCTCAGTGCCGCATTTGACACCATTGATCATAACATCCTGATCAATAGACTAACACAATACGTCAGCATATCTGGAACTTCCCTTAGTTGGTTCCAGTCCTATGTCTCAGATAGACAAATCTTTGTTTCCATCGTGCTGAGGTGCCCTTGAGCAAGGCACCGAACACCCCAATTGCTCGCAGGGCGCTTCTCCGGGGCTGCCCATCCCTCCACCATCTATCTCTCCAGTTTGCATGTCTATGAGCCCTTTGTGTGTGTTTCAGGGTTAAAAAACTGCATGTATAAAAATGAGTGTAAAAAGAATTTCCCCTTGAGGGATCAATAAAGTATCTCTTCTTCTTGTTCTTCTAAATAATGCCTCATCCTTGGCCCCACTGATGTGCGGAGTGCCACGAGGTTCTATTCTTGGACCCATCTTATTCTCGCTGTACATGCTCTCATTAGGAAACGTCATCAGCCATTTTAATGGGATATCATATCATTCTTATGCTGATGACCCTAACCCAAATATACTTGTCCTTGGTATCTCGTTTACAGCTTGTTCAGAACACTACTGCTCGTATTTTAACAAGTACAAACTGTAGGGCTCATATCACGCCAATTCTTGCATCCCTTCATTGGTTAGCAGTTAAATTAAGGATTGATTTCAACATTCTTTTAAGAACTTTTAAAGCCCAATGTGGACTGGCCCCAACTTACATTTCGTAGCTCTTGACTACTTATAATCCCTGTCTTAACCTCAGATAGGCCAGCCTGTCCCTGTTGGCTGTCCCTGGGTCAAGGCTGGCCACTCAAGGTGACCTGGCATTTTCTGTCTGGGCCCTGAGGCTTTGGAACTCCCTGCCGGATGAGATTAGGCTCGCAAACTCAATACCGATCTTTAAATCACTGCTCAAAACTTATTTTTTACAGGAAAGCATTTCTAACATGTGACCTGTATTTACTTTCTCCACAATAATGACACTTATAGAGTTCACGTATGATGTTCTTGAGGTCCCTCTCCCCTCCCCTGACCCGACCACCCCATCTCTCTCTCTATTCTGCTCCCTCATTGCCACCCACCTCCTCTTTTCCCATTTTCTCCACTCACCCCAACCTGGTTCTGCCAGAGGTTTTACCCAGTTAAAGAGGGAGTTTTCCCTCTCCACAGACGCCAAAGGGCTTGCTCATTGTGGGAACTGCTGGGTTTAATATGACAGCTTCTGAATCTGCTACTGTAGTGTAATTTTTGGTCATTATGCTATATCACAATATTAATGTCACTATATACCTAGAATCTGCACGATCTGCATGTTTGTTAAAGTAAAAAAAAAGAGACATATTTTACTGATGATTACAATAAGTTTAAAGCAGCAATAACGAATCAAATAATATACTCAGTGTGTTACAAGCAGTGTTATGTGTATGTGTAACTGGTATAAAGAAATACTAATCTTTTTTAAAAAAGAGACAGTCTGACAATAAGAAAACATAATGGTGTCAAATCAGAGACAAATGTCTTTTAAAAAAATAGTAAACGATTTGAACAGAATATATTGGTGTAAAGAGTAAGAAAAACTGTTTGAAGGAAAAAGAGACCTATCAAGGCATGATAGGGGCTCTTCAGAGGGAA